TAAAACTATGGCTATCAAAATATATAAAGTGTTTATTAGACCACATCACACGGTGTATATTATAGAGGTGAATATTTGACCAATATTATTCAAAGAGGCAGGTTTCCCTACTTACACCTTGCCTTAGTTACGCCTTTGCCACAACAATCTTGGTTTCTAATTAGGCATTGATTAAATAAAATGATAAAATGATCTGCATTATGCATTTAGCAATAACTTCAAAAAACCACATTTCAATATAATGACATTTTTTTATTCACCTAATATTTACAAGCTCGAAATTTCAAATTTGCAAATTCCATGGTTTTTTAATCTATCGAGAGCTTGGAGCCAGAACCACGTATGTACACTTTTCAACAGTTTAAGAAAAAGCATTTTCTTACATCATTCATCAAACATCTAAATCGTCTCGGAGTTCTACGCTACATAATAATATTATTTCAAAAAAACCATAAACTTTTGTAAAGAATTAGATTTTAGATGTATGATTGAAGAATTCAAATCTCAAAGTTTTAAAAAGTGTTCATACTTCATTCTGGCTCTAACCCTAGTCGGGTACGTGTATTTGAAAGAATATATAAGAAAATAAACTACTAATCGAGGGGTAAGGCAAATATATATATATATATATATATATATATATATATATATATATATATATATATATATATATATATATATATATATATATATATATATATATATATATATATATACATATATATATATATATATATATATATATATATATATATATATATATATATATATATATATATATATATATATATATATATATATATATATATATATATATATATATATATATATATATATATATATATATATATATATATATATATATATATATATATATAAAGATAAAGACTTGGAGACCCTAACTGCAAATGATAAGCACAAAAGAAGATGTTTTTGCTTTTTTTCTTTTGCTAACATTCAGTATGTGAGAGGTTCTTATTTTAGAATTGTCGTTTTAGTTTTTAAAATTGTTTTCTTTAAATTACCTGAGTATTTATTCATACACTGACCGTATCTTGGCCTGACACACCGCAATCGGAGGGTGGTGCAACGAGCAAGTTTAAGGAGCTTTTTAATATTACTAATTGGAAAACGTTTTAAGATTTTAATGCTCTAATGACAGGTACTTTTCAAAAAGAAGGGGCTTAGACACGGTACTGTTCATAAACAACATTTAAAAAGTTGTGTATGAACATTGTGTATGAGTATTTAACATTCGAAGATAATAACAAAGACAACAAAATTAAAATAATAGGGGTGATATTTATGTATCGCCCTTAACTCAAAAATTATTTTATACCAAATATGTTTTTAATATGTTTATGGCTATAAAAATAGCCATATTTAATTTTTTTTATTGGTAAACTTCTTTCGTTTCATATATTTTATGGCTATGGTAAAACCAGGTCAATAGAATTTTTTTTATTGACAAATTGACACTTTATTCTCGGCAGAATAAAATATTAGATATTCAAACAAAATATGCACGAATTTGATTTTCATTGTAACCATGATGGTTGCATTAACTAACACTCTTCCGGTGTTTAGATTATCCAATATTAACATATTGTATCTGCTTAAAATGATTATAGCAGCCTTGATTATAGATAGAAAGTTGTATCGTTGGATGTACTAGACTTAACTTTAATGTGTCTTTTGATAAAAGAATTTCTGACTTTCATAGTTTTATATGATGCTTGGTTACTGCTTTCATAAACGTTTAGATAAAGTAAAAACAAAACTGGTTAAAAAACAAGATCCATAACAAATAACACTTATTTAATTTATATTTATAATAGTTAAGATAAACTTTAAAATTAAAATTAAAAAACATTATTACTCTGGATCCTCCATTTTTTACCTCAACTTATTGTTCATCATCTTTAGCTATTTTTTGCTTATGAGCATAGAGTGCACTCATGATTGAGGAGTGCAGTATCTTCAACTATTCTTGGAATAACATTATCCAATGTGGGAATATAAATTGCGGAATCTCTTTTTATATAAGTATGATACTGAAGCCAATAAAAATGATAAGGATGAAGCCAAATTAGAAGCAAATGAAAATAATATTGGCGATAACAATTAGGCTGTTTGTAATATTAATTTATCAACCCAGATACTCATTAAAAATTAGTATGTAAACCATATTTTTTCATTACATTGAACTTCTTTAATAAATTGATTGAATAAATAAATTGCATACAAATTTAAAGATAAGATTTAAAATTAAAATAAAAAAAACTTTTTTAATTTTTTTACACTCTCCAATAAAAAAAAGGCAAGATCGAAGCCTGCAGGTCATTGGGTTTATCAAACAGGAAAATTTTTTGCAAACTGAGACGCTCACAACGTTTAATTAATAGTTTCATAAAAAATCCTAAAAATTATAGCACAAAGCATTGAAGTGGAAGATAATCTATACTTACAGCTTGCCAACAGCGACAAATTCTATATGCCGCTAGTAACCGTACAATCTCCGCGAGACAAATAGATTTTTGGCATTGAAATGCTTCTAATGAACGATGAATCGTGCAATTAATAAGTTTTCAGATATGCAAAAAAACGTATTTAGATTTGCAAAAAAATGCACATCTCCAGCACTAACTGAAGCACACAAACGCATTCGTTTTCAATGTACCAAGGACCGCATGATTTGGGAAAAAGAATGGAAAAAAATTGTATGGTCTGATGAAAAAAAATTTAATCTTAAAGGTCCAGATGGCTTCAATTACTACTTGCATGACATAAAAAATGAGAAAATATTTAAAAAAATAAGGGCTAAGGGTGGCGGAGAAGCAATGATTTGCGGTGCTTTTAATAATTTTGAAAAAACTTCGATTGGCTTTATTACTACAAATTTAAATGCTGAAGGATATAGAAATTTGTTGAATGGTCATTTGAGTGATATTTTGAAAAACTTTGGTAACACTAACTTTATTTTCCAGCAAGATAATGCTCTAACTCATAGAGCAAAGTCAACTATCTCATGGTTTACCAGCAAGAAAATTTAATTATTAGAATGGTCAGCGCTCTCACCTGATTAAAATCCCATCGAAAATGTATGGGGCATCTTAGCAAGATGTCTTTATATATATATATATATATATATATATATATATATATATATATATATATATATATATATATATATATATATATATATATATATATATATATATATATATATATATATATATATATATATATATATATATATATATATATATATATATATGACTAGATCGCCGTAAAGTCGCCAAATCGTGTAAAAAATTTCAACGGAAAGTCGACTTGAGTGGAAAGTCGACAAAATTGAGTCGACCTAACGTTTTTCATCTTAGTTTCATCAAATTCAGTCTTACCTATAAAATTTTTTTTTCTATTTCAATGAAATATAGTAGTTTTTGATTAAAAATACAAATTTGTTTTTTTTTAACTGCCGTCGATGAGTATTTTTTTTAAATATCTCATTTTAAGCTTATATATGTAAACAAATTCAAAATATCGACGTAAGGTCGACGGCACTTAATATCTTAAAAATTATGAAGTTCAACTGTATATATCATGCTTTTATGGAGTTAAAAATGTTTTCTCTGTCACTCAGTTAAAGTTTTGAGAGTTTATTAACGGATATCATTGCAAATACAACATATATATGAAATATAGGAGATATACAGTTTTACTTTAAGTCATTTCCATTTTTCTCGTATTTCAAACGAATTTCCTTACCATGCGGAGTCGCTTTTCCCGGAAACTTGTTGTTTTTTATGAATGTTTTTGTTTTGATTTCTTTATTTTGAAAATTTTGTATGTTTATATTGTTTGTTTATATTGTAGCTAAACCTTTTTATTTTTTTACGCTAACTTTAAGAATCTTATTTTAAAACTTTTTTCTATTTTTCGAAATATTTAGGTGCTTTTATGAAGGAAATATTATTGCTATATAGTAAACTAGACAACCTATTAGAAGTCTAATATACAACTAGTGTATTTGACTTCTAATATGCGTTCAGATTAGTACTGCTAGTATTACTAGCAGTATTAATCTGTATGGTACAGGTATTATAGTTTAGGCAGGAATAACTATAAAGAGTTTTTGACTGTTAACAGTCTTAAACTCTTTATAATTGTTCCTGCCTAAACTATAACGCCTGTATCATACAGAATAATACTATCTATAACTAATGTTTAATAACTAATAATTAATAGTAATATACAAGTGTCTTATAATTAGTTATTAGACACATTAGTATAGTAATAAGATCTATATATTATAAGATAGTTATTATTACTTATTTAACAGTTGACAAGATGGTTTTGTTCGCCATATTGTAGTGGATTAAAAACACTCTTATATTTGTGATCTACAATGGTTTAGTTAAGAGAATGCATGACTACTGGTATAGAATAGAATACAAGATAGAAAACAAGACAAAATAGAAAGCAAGACTAACTAGGAAATAGGAAACGGATTCACATTCCTTTAATTAAGAAACTATGGTTGTATCAAGTTAACTATATTTTATGGTAGGCAAGTTGGCATACCTGCAAGACTTACAAGTAAAGAACATAAAAATGCCTTGAACAATATATGATTAAATGAACAAAGAATAAAAAATGCATTATCTTAAAATCAATTAGAATGTAGAATGAAGATTAATTATCAGTCTGGAAGTGGGTTTAGTTGTTCATTTCCTGTCTTAATTCCTACAGATACAATTAAAGTAAAGTTGTTAGGTTTGGCTGATATTAGTAGTCAGGTTGGAGTTTCAGCAAAAACACTATTTATTCTAGAACACGATTTTTACAAAAATTCTGTTTTGAATAAAATATTCTAAAAATATAATATGGCAACTTAATGTGATCTTGTGCAAATAATTGCCATCGCCTTGCTACACTAATAGCTGATTATATGATTTCGGATGCTGAAATGACTATCAAACTTCAGCAGTTTACTATCTTTTTTATAGGGAAAGTGTCTTGGAGCTTTTTATCAAAACTCCTGTATATATATAAAGATATTTTGATTTGTTTGAATAGTTTTTAAAGTAGCTATTTTTATTTTTTTAATGATTGATTTTTGCAAGAAATATTGTTATGAGAAAAACAAAAGAACACAATAAAATTTACTAAAGTTTTTTTAACAAGATGTAAAGCAAGACTTTTAAAAGCAATTAAAGTTAAGAGTAGCACTGCAAGCAGTTTAAATGAATTAGGTATATATCTTATTTACTATTTAATTTTTTTTGGCATGTTTTTATATGTTATAAATAAAACAAATAAATTTAAAAAACAAATAAAATTTTATTTGTATATCAAGTTATTTTTTATATGACTATTTTTAATTGATAATTAAATAACTTTTATCAATATTCTGTACTCAAGTTTAAAAAAATACAAATGAAAACTTTTTCTACTGAATATGAAAGCAGTTCAAGCAAATTGTAGTTCCATTTTCAAACTGATGATTATCAAATAAATAAAACTGAAAAAAGTTCTGTCTCAGTCTCAAGTTTTATAGCAAAGTATACACCAGATAATCTGACTCTATTTATATATTACAACTTTTTTTGTTTATTTTGAAGATTTTTTTTAAATGTTAATGATCACATTAGACTATGAAAAAAAAATTGTTATTTAAGGTTATACTATTTTAGGGATTTAATTTAAAGTTTTCTTCAATAGCAGCTAAAATGGTGGTGCAAAGTGGGCTGTGCCCTCAATACAAGAGTAGAAAAAAATAGCCTACATAATAATCAAATAGCTTATTTATTTTATTTTACCTTATTTATAAACTTAAATTGGCGCCTCCACTTCAAATATAGTTCCTCTAATATAGTGAATATTACTTATATATGCACTGTAAGCAAATACTTAAATAGTTATTTTGTGTATAACTATGGAGCAAAATTTTGACAATTCAACTTTTAATAAATGTGTTTTTAACTTTTTAAATTTTTATTTTATTGTATCAAGAGTACGTTTAGGCATGAGGGCAAGGAGATGGGTAAAATTTAAGAGCATTTGAGAAAGTTATACATATGTGAAAACATTTGAGTCTTGTGAATAGCTATAAAAGTTATATAAATCTTATTTAAGCCGTAGGTATAATCAAAATGACAATATAAGTGAGAGAGTGTTTTTTATAAAGATTTCTGAAGTATGTTTGTTTAATCACAGGGTATCACTTAATGCATTTACTTGGATACCCTGATTAGGTATAATAATATTGTATTAAAAAGATTTATCTTTTTAATACAATATTATGGTTAATTTTTATCAAATAAGATGTAATAAAACAAAAAATTAAGGGTAAATGTTAAAACAATCCATAAACTTTTTTAAATTTATATCACTTGTCACAAGGTGCTAATTTATTCTTATTTTACTTTTGATTTGAGTAGATAACTTTGTATCTTTATTTCAAATTACAGCACATATCTTTTCTATTTCAGGTCGACAAGATATTATTAAGTTTGGATCAAAATACGGATCTGGCCCAGACACTTTTGAAAACAAAATCATTAACGAAATAGCATAAAAGATGCGAACCTTTTCCGAAGTTCTAATGACATTAAAACTTATTTTTTTAAAGTTAATTTAAAACAGTTCCGAATAAAATTTATACTTTAAAGTAATGTTTTTTCAATTAACTTTTTCTCTTAAAGTTTCATTTATAAAACCTTTTAATTAATTTTGTGGACCACGGCGATACCAGTGACACAAAAATACACTTTTTTTCACCTCGGCATGTGTATTTAAAAGAATTGTTATCCCGCGGGAAGCGCATTTTTTTATTGTCGACTTTAAGGAGATCAAATAAAAAAAAAAAGTTAAAGTCAACTTTTAATAAAAAAAAATTTCTCGAAAACGTTAAGTCGACTTAAAAATTGAAGAAAAGTTTTAGAATATTTAATTCTCAATTGAACAAGAAGCCATTTCATTAATTTTTGAAAAAAAAATAATTTAAATTGATCAAGTTATACTGATTTTTGAGGCGTCGACTTTCCGCGGGTATTTTATTGCTGTCGACTCAAAGTTGATCTAGTGGTATATATATATATATATATATATATATATATATATATATATATATATATATATATAAAACAGGTACTTTTAGGTCAAAAACAGGCTAAAATCTTGGCAAAGATACCTCAAAAAGTATAATTTATTAAGTTCTAATTTTTTGTATTTTTATTCGTTTTATGTAGATAAATGTCCAAAGATAAAAATTTTTGTTGAAAATTTCTTTATTTTGAAGCATCGTTAGATTTTTCAAAGCGTCCAATTAAAAATTGAGTTTCTTATATTAAGAATCAAAATTTTGTTTTTTTAAAAATTTATATTCTATATTTATTTTATCTCAAGACATAAAGCTTATAATAATGAATCTCTGGAAAAAATTTGAAGGCAATTGGACTAATACAGCTCCTGCAATTTTTGTCAGAAAATTAGAGGAATAAAACAGAGAAAAATGCATATAAAAATTAAATTATTGAATATACCAACTTATGAAAACATGTTAAAATCCCCCTATTTATTAAAATCCCCCCCTGTCTCTCTTAATCATTGTAATTATTATCAAACCCTTTCCGTTACGTTACGTTTACGTTACGTTACGTTTTCCTAGTTGCTTTAAGATTTTTTCTTTGTTTTTTAATTTTTTTTTTATTTCTAACCTTATCTAGCCGTTGCTATGAACGTTGCTTGGGAAAACAAAATTACATTGTTAAAATAAATCACTTTTATTAGCTCTAAATTTGTTGTCATATGAAGATCTATACCCACCAATCTTTTCCACCACCTTTTTGAAATAAAATCTACACAAATTTCTTCTCTTTTCCACCACCTTTTTGAAATAAAGCGTAATTTAGAAAGTCAAACAATGTTCCATTAACCGAGGGTTCTTTTGGTCCATTGAGTACAATATAAGAAGCTGTAAATAAAAAAATATATTGAAAAAAAAAAAAAAGGAAGATTTAAAAAATAAATAATGAATGGAAAAGTGTTACAACTTATGAAGGTATATCTTTTTCAACGCCATATAGATTAGTGTTCTTAAAACATATTTTTCCACCTTTGCCCTTCCTATCCATGGAGGCCATATAACTTTTCGAAAATACTCTGAGTTTTTAAAAAATAATATAACTGTTAGTTGGTTATTAATAACTTTTTCAAATATTTAATTTAAATAAAACAACTTTTTTAATATATTAAAAATAAATTAATAATCAAAATATAAAACATTTCTAGCATTGAAAAATAATTTTCAGGGTGGCCACATAAAATTTTTATAAGAAACTTTATGTGGCCATTTATTAATGGTTTAACGTCCATGTTTATACACTTATGGGGCTTGGACAGGGATCAAATAATGTCATTTGTTATGTTAAATAGCATGCATTTTCTAAAGCAATTTTTTACAATTCCATGCACTTTAAGGCGTTAACCAGTTTTGCAGACCGAGAATGGGTATTTTGAACATTATACATCCATCAAAAATTAAAAAAGAAAGAATTAATGAGGAGCTTTGATCAAATTTTTACCTCTTTAGAGGATAATAGAGGATTTTAGAAGTGGTTTTAAAAAAAGAGGACTTTAGAGGATTTTAGACGAGCTGCAGACACCCTGATTATAAATGAGGTAACTCCACCAATTAACTGTAATTGATTTATCTGTAAAAAAACATGAAGTAAATCTAATATTATGCTTGTGGACTCCAAAAATCAAAAAATGGCACTCGAATGACTGAGCACATTGCAAAATGTATGAAATGTGGCGATCAAATAAAAAACAAATATTTGAACGATATGCCTTTTAAACAGAAGAAAGTTCAAACTGAACTAATGATGGAAGAAGATATTCCTGAAAACTTACCTATTCAAGATATGAAAAAAGAGAAAAAAATATGTTTATCATCTGCTATTCCACAAGTTCCAATTGAGTCTTTCTTTCCAACACCAAGCTGTTTTGGAAACCAAAGTAGGTCTACAACCCCTATGTTTGGAGACTGTAAGGCAAATAAAACCAAATCAGATAAGCCTCCCTTAAAACGATTGTATTCTTCAACAAGAGTTCCATTCACAACTCAGAAAAATAAAATTGCATCCTACATTTTAGGAGAGAACAAGAGTTTAGAGTCAGAGTTATCAAGCGACTCTGAAGAATACGGATTTGACTTTACAATAGAAGACCTTAATGAACAAGAAAGCCAGAATACAGAATCTGTTATTAATTAAAAATAAATCTTTTAAATGATGTACTATATATTTACCATATATCATGTTATTAATATATATTATATTACATTTATAATAAAAATAAAAATTAAATAAAAGTAAAAAATTTTTTTTTTAATCTAAAAAACAAAAAAAACCATAAAAAAAACAAAAAACACAAAAAAAACATGTTTTTTTTGCAAAAAAAAACACAATTAAAAAAAAACGGTTTTTTTTGCAACTCTATTGTGGAGATATATTATATTGTGAAGAACCATCAAAACCACACAAGTGGAAAATTTGCATCCAATTTTTCACTTGTGTGCAAATCTTGCATCCACTTGTCAACATTTTCATTATAACATTTTTCTTTTGTAGTTGTGAATTTAAAATTTTCACAATACTGTTTGCTTTCTTTTAGAATTGAAATAGTTATACAAATAGTTATATATTTTGTATCAACAAAATAACTCTTCTTACCACATTATTTAAAAAATAATAATTGTAATATATAGATGTAATACCTGAAGAGAATTTAGTTTTTATTTGTATAAACTTAAGCCAATTCTTCTCTGCATTTTAGTGCAGTCAATGCTTTGGTACCTGGAAGCCGACAAACAGTTTTATCACTAATCCAATCAGATGGAATTACTTCTTCTTGTAAATCTTCATTCCAAACAGCTCCTTTCCGCATATTCGATTTTGAAAAAATTACATGAACTAATATAAAATGAAGAAACCATAATATAAGTGTACTAACAGGCCTAATTAAACTAGCTAAATTTGAACATTTTATAACCATGATACTTGCTAAACAATAATATTAGTAGACATTATAAGCAAAGATAAGATTTTCTTTATTTTATTATATTTTAAAATTTTATTTTATTATTTAAAATTTATTATATTTTAAACTCATTTTTATTAATTTATTTATTACTCTATTATTCAGCAGAGTTCTGAATATATTATGTTCAAATAACTTAAGGCTCAATAACAAAGACAAATAATGAAAGAATACTAGGTTGCTAAAACATAAACATCTACATAAGATAATTATGGAATATTGAAAAAAAATAGAAATACAAAAAAAAAAAAATACTCATTATTAATATAAAATATAATAGTATAATATAAGGTATATTATAATATATGAAACAATAATATCTACTTTTAATTAAAATATAAAAACAACAAAAATTAAAAAAGAAAATATTTTGATAAATAATAAATTATCATTCAAACAATTTTCAAGACCAAAAAATAACTTATTTTTTTACTTATCTTCATCTAATAAACATTACTTATTTTTTACTCATCTTCATCTAATAAACATTAATATTAATACCAATTTTAAACATTATTAGAATTTTTTTATCAAAAAATAAAAATATTACATCAGTTACTTTTTGGGCTTTTCTTATTTTACTTAAAACATCAACTCAATTCTAGGCTTTTTTCATTATTGAGTTTTAATTTGTAATGTTGAATTAACACTGAAAAAAAAATATTAGCAGACAAAAAGAAAATATTTCTTTATTGAAATATATATAAATATTTCAATAAAGAAATTTTAGATCGATTTTTATAAATATAAATTTATATCAATCAATCTAAATTTTTTTCTTTTCCGCCACCTTTTCAAAATGAAGAGCATTTTTAGAAGTTAGACAAAATGCCATCAATTAAAGTTTCAGTCGCTCCATCGTATTTAATAGAAGAAGCTGTTAATAAAAAAGAATTGAAAAAAAAAAAAAACACAAGGAGAAATTTTTGAATATATAAAAAATGAGAATAAAAAAGTTTTACATATCTTATAAAGGTATACCTTTCACTACACCATATAAATTAGTGCTCTTAAAGCATATTTCCACCTTTCCCCTTTATATTCATGGAGGTTACAAAATTGTTGGAAAATATTCTAAATTTTAATAGATAAGAGAACTGATATTAATTGTGCGAGAATTAATATTAATTTTTTAATTTTGAATAATTAAAAATTATTTTGATTACCTCAGCATTTTTAAGATATTCCATCAATGGCAATTGATTCATCTAAAAAAAAACAACAAGTAAAGCTAATATTATTGTTTGAAATTTTAATTATCTTTATACAAATACTCATCATATTTTTAAAGTGACTGATAAAAATGGATTTAATTAAAATCACTTCATTTGTATTAAAAAATTAATATTAAAGCCTTAATCATACATTATACAAGAGTATTTTGTAATACAATCTAAATAGTTGTTGCGATATGTCATTTTTTAATCCAAAATTTAGCTTCTGTAAGCTTTAGAAATTTTTTAAAGAAATTATTGATGAATTTGGATCTACGGGTACTAATGTTTTTATATTGTTGTAATGTTTGTATTCCTTCCCTGTTAGTCAAAATTTTAAGGTGTTTCCATAATAAATTCTGTTATATCTGAAATTTAGTGTTAGTCTGAATAATTTAATTTCTAAAATCTGTTTTGCATTGCCTGTCTTATAACATCTTTACTTGGAACAAAAACCATGTGGTTTAAAACTGAGCTAGAAGCTTTCAACAATGAAGAAAATATTGCATTCACTAATCCTGAAAATATATTAAACCTGTCAGCAAAATCAGCTGTCAATAATCCAAGTATTAGCATTATTAAAAATTCATCTTTGCTGCAATACATTTATTTTGGTCCAAGTAGTTAAGGATTTTTTTAAATTTCAAAAAACAGAAGTAAATGTTTTTTTAATATCACTTTATCTCTTTTGATTAATGGTGATACTGCACTAACTGATGAAACACATTGACAGATGTAAGGCCAGTATAAAAGTCGCAAGATCTATTATTTTTAAAATAAATGTTTGTATACAAGTAAATTGCAATAACACGATTTGTTTTGATTATGTTTATATACAAGTTTGTCTGTTTTCATAGTAATAACTGATGTAGGTACGTGACATAAAAATTTTAAATTAATTAAATAGTAGATTGTTATATATTATTAGAAAGGTCTTTAATTCAATTTTTCAAAAGTGAAAAAATTATAAAAGTCGGACAATTCCATAAAAAGTTATACTTGATTAAGTGACGAATTATTGATATATGGATTTCTTGATAAAACTGAAGCAAAAAAAGTTTTTTTTTTTACTAAAACTATCATAACTTAGTCAATTCTCATCAAAATCCTTATATCTTGGTATTAAAAAATAGGTGCAAGAATAACCTACAAAATTATAACAACCTTGAGCAATTTGGCATACCGTCGGCGGTGGGCGCATAGATACGCTGTCTTTGCGGTCAATAAAAAGAGATTTTTCTAAATAAAAAAGTGTTTCTTAAGAAAACCGGTCTATTTCATTTGCAAAAAGTTGTTACAATTTCATTACACTTCACTGCCAAATATCAAAGGTTTATTAAAAATATGGGGTGGACCTTGGGTGTTAAAATTCAACACACCCTAATTTAAAAAAACAATCATTCTCATAATCATTTTTATCTTTATTTCAAAATATACATCTAATAGATCAATGTTATAAAATGAATAATTTTTTTTTACATCTTTAAAACTATAAGTAGTGATGTACACAAAGACACGAGAAAAGGGCGTATCCCGCCCCCTCTAACCTAAAAAAAAAAAAATTAAATGAGGTTTCCAAAAATAAAAATTGCTATTATTTTTAATGCTTTATTTTAATATATAATTATTTTTACCATATTACAGTAGTAGTATTAAAAGATGCATCAGAGTACTCATTTTTGCAGAGGGGGTGGGAGTTACCCCCTCTAACCTAAAATTATTAAAAAAAATAGACATTTTCTAAAACAAAAACTGCTATAATTTTATATATTTTATTTTAATATAACATTATTTTTACCATAATACAGTAGTACTAAAACAAGATGCATCAAAGAATTTATTTTTGAAGAAGGGAGTAGCGGTTACCCCCTCTGACCTATACAAATTAAAAACAATTTGAAATTACTTTTTCTAAAATAAAAACTGATATTATTTTATATGTTTTATTTTAATATAAAATTATTTTTACCTTATTTGAGTAGTAGTATTACAAGATGCATCAGTCTTCATATTTTCTGAGGGAGATGTCAAACCCCCCCCCCCCTCCAACCTAAAAATTTTAATTACTAAAATTTTAATTACTTTACTAATTGCTGTAGATTTACGTTGCAAGTTCCACTACTTGCTGTACATATATTTTGCAAGTTCCACTAATCGCTGTAGATTTATGTTGCAAGTTCCACTACTTGCTGTAGTTATATATTGCAAGTTCCACTACTCGCTGTACGTTTATGTTGCAAGTTCCACTACTTGCTGGACATATATTTTGCAAGTTCCACTACTTGCTGTACGTTTATGTTGCAAGCTCCACTACTTGTTGTACATATATTTTGCAAGTTCCACTACTTGCTCTACGTTTATGTTGCAAGTTCCACTACTTGCTGTACATATATTTTGCAAGTTCCACTACTTCCTGTAAATCACAAGTTCCACTATTAGCAGTACATTTACAACGAAAATTCCACTACTTGCTTAACCTTTATTTTGCAAGTTCTAATTCTTGCTGTATATTAATTTTGCAAGTTCCACAATAAGATAGCATAAGAAATTACGAAAATACTAACTCGCCTGTTACAACATCAGTAACCAGCTGGAATTTTTTTATGCTATGGTCAACACCTTCTGTATAAGTTTCATCTGGAGCCCAGTAAGAAATTGTGTAAATGATGCCTTTTGTTGTCTTTTTGAGTTTTTTAACTCTGCCATTATACAAGATTGTCATTGTTGAATCTGTATCATACCATTCGTGGCAGAGATTCCTCCCAACAATTCTTTCACACATAACATAATTTAAATCATCAATTTGCTTAGAAGACAAGTTTTTAAATAAATTTTGAATTTCACAAACAGATAGTGGAGATAATTGTCGCTCTAACCTTCTTTTTTCTTTTTCGTCTAATTTTTGGTGTTTCACTGTCTGCCTTTTAGAAATTTCAGCTCGAATTTCAGCATGCTGAAGTCGAGTTTTCTTTCGTTTTAAATGCGCTTCTTAAATAGCCCATTTAATTACTTTTTCTCTATAAAAGTTATCAAGATTTTCCAAAAAATCCATTGTCCTAATCTTTTTTGTTCGCAATTTGCAAGAGATATAATCAATTGTAGCATTTGGTGATCTTCCTTTTGCAGCACTGAACATTCCCATTACCTCTTCACTGTCTATATTATGTAGCCTTGCACTGGCTGTCTCTTCTTGAAGTGTTTTTGTAATATTAATCGAAAAATAACGCTTATACTGTCTATTTAAAACTTCTTCTATTGCAACAAGACAACCTGATGTCATGGCAATAAGCTCATCATCAATTATGCATTTACTTGTTATTGCTTGTAAAATATTTGGTTGGATAATATTTCCAAACAAACCTGTCTTTCTGGTAAACAATGCACCTTTACAATCTGTAAGTGTTTGCACAACCTTTTTAATTATTGCAATACCACCAACATGATCAAAAGTGAGTCATCCAGGGTCCTGTTAAATTTTTTCCTAATAATGCAAGCAAGCACATTTGTTTTATAGCAGTTGTATCACAAAATGCAGCACGCAAAATACTTTGTAAAGTTTTCCTTTTTACTGTTCCAATTGTCAGAAATTGCATAAATTGACTGTGGTGTTTTATAAAAATGAAACAAGTGTGAAACAGAATATGTAGACGGTTTCCACGGTACCTTTGAATAATACCTCTTGGTAATTTGTTATTGTCCAAAAAATTGACAAATCCTTTTGGATCACCGCTTGCATCTTTAAACCTCATCTTATTCATAGCCAAAACAATTTTAACAGCAACACAATCATTTCCAAATAATTGGCAATTTCCATTTTCCAAAGACTTTAATGCTGTTCGACATGAAATAGCAATTGTGTTAAGAGGGTGTAAGTGGCAGTTTAACTCATTTAGACTTTTACCCCAGACTTCACCAATTTTTAAGGATTGTAAGATGGTTAACCGAAACTCTATCAGACATGGTGTTTGATATATTTGAGATTATTAGGCGTCTACAATCATCAAAGGGTTGTAAGTGAAAGTTTGAATAAACTAAGGCAGTATAATCCACTACATTACATATATGATTTGCATAATCCACTGCTTTCCCGCCTGGTAATTGATCAATAGCAACAACCTAGCATTGATTTTTTTGAAGTTAAATGAATGCTGTTTATATGAACACCTTCTTGCGTTGTTGCATCAAATCCAAGTGTGAGATGATTATTATTGATGGCCCATTCTGCTACTTGCAAATCAGTAATACTGCCAAGCTGACGAGCCATTTGCTCAACGGTACTACGATGAGGAATGTAAGAAAAATTAATTCCAAAATATTGTGCAATTTTATCCACTAGAAATGGAATATAACTGGTTGGGACATTTGACAATAACATGGTGTAGACTACCATCCTTAATAGCATGGAAAATTTTTTAACATTGTTGGACCAGTTTGATGTACTTTAATTGTAATTTAAAAATGTAATTTAAGCAAAGTGTCATTGAATTGAAAAAAAACTACCTAAACTATAAACAGACACAAATATTTTAATCTGCTTTTAGTTTAAAAACTTTTTACATTATAAAATATATATAATATATATATATATATATATATATATATATATATATATATATATATATATATATATATCTACTATAGTATATTTATATGCACAATTGCTCACTTTTTTTGCTAGCCTAAATTAAGTGAGCAATTTTAGAAAACGATGAGGGAAAACGAAGAATAATGAATGAAAATGTTGCTGACCCATACCAAACCCTCAGTCGATGTAGCAACACTCCACGGCGAGTCAGGCTATTTGTCAGTCGAGATATGTACTGAAGCCCCCGGCAGCAGGCTATTTGATGTTAGGTGGTTATGACATCATCATGCTCACCTAAGTCAGCAGTATAAGATATATATATATATATATATATATATATATTACTATAAATATATATATATATATATATATATATATATATATATATATATACATATATTTGCATAAATTTATATAGTGTATATATATATATATATATTTACATATTACTATAAATGTGAATATATATATATATATATATATATATATATATATATATATATATATATATATATATATACATATATTATATATGTATATATATGTTATATATATTTATATAAATATATATATATATATATAATATATATATTTATATATATATATATATATATATATATATATATATATATATATATATATATATATATATATATATATTATATAAAAATATATGTAATATATATTATATATGTTTATATATATATATATATATATATATATATATATATATATATATATATATATATATATACATATATATATATATATAATATATATATATATATATATATATATATATATATATATATATATTTATATATATATATATATATATATATATATATATATATATATATATATATATATATATATATATATATATATATATATATATATATATATATATATATATATATATATATATATATATATATATATATATATATATATATATATATATATATATATATATATATATATATATATATATATATATATATATATATATATATAATTATTCTTATATACAATTTATTGTAACTTAGATATCAAAGTGGTTATTAATGCTCAAAAAAGGTACTTTTATCGGTAATTCTGCGCCTTATATAGCAGAGGGGGAGCAACGTAAACGATATAAAAAATCGTATATCATTAATATACGATTGATATCAAAATAATAACTTATTATTTTGATATCAATCGTATATCAATGATATACGATTTTTTATATTGTTTACGTTGCTCCCCCTCTGCTATATAAGACGCAGAATTACCGATAAAAGTATCTTTTTTGAGCATCGTTGAAGTGTACTTGAGCATCATTATTTTTCAATAAAATTTGACAGGTAGTGAGAAAATAGATATATCTACAATCGCATATAGTTTTAAAAGTCAGCACTACATTCCTTCGATAGTAATTTAATCAACGAACAACAACATAGTTTTTGACACCAATAAACTTGATATAAACATTAACAACTTCCGAAAATGAAAACACTAATATAAAGCCAAACTATTCATCTTTTTAAAAAGTATCTAAGATGATACAGAATTCTAAAAAGTTATAAAACAAAAAACATTTTTAACACACTCACTCTAAACGGACTTCAATAAACGTGGAACAGTTTTTTAGCTCAAATTTCGGTTCCGTAAAACGTATTTTTCCGCGTACCTAACTGATGTGGTTGAAGTTGATTTTTCAAATAAATCTTTATTTTTTTATTTCATGCTTAATTTCTTTTTTAAAGTTATCAATTTCCTTTTTTAATTCTTGATGCTCTATTAAAAAACAACGCTTAGCATTAAATTCAACATAATTTAATGGATCATTTTTTGAAAAAGCTGTATTATATTTACATTTAATAAAATCAGTCTTTGAGCATTGTAGCCCAAGTTAAACGAAAAATATCGATTTTTAAACGATAATGTTCTTTCAGGAAAATCGTCTGAACATGTTTTCGATCTCTTGAAAATTCTATATGATATAAGTTCAGTATTTACATTTTTTTTCCATTATAAATCTCTATAACTTTAATCGTTGAAATAATGTTTACGATTTTACTTCCATTTCTGCGCGCGCATAAACTTTATGTCGTATTTTTTGTCAACAATGGTTGAAATATTGACGTTAAAATAACGTTAAATAATCAACGTTTAAACGGTAACGTTGATTTAACGTTGTGACATAGTTGAACAACGTTGAATCAACGCTTCAACCGAATTTCAACGTTGAAACAACGTAATAATGCCGGCTGGGTATGTTTTTAGATTCTACAACAGTTACTGTTTAAAACAATGCTATTTTTGATAAATTGTTTTTTCTAACTTTTTTAGCAGTCTACCAACTTAATTAAAATTTCATTAAAACTAGAATTAAAACTCGTTTTTTTGTCTCTCTGTCTAATCAAAACAATTTAAAGGTTTTCAATGATTTGAAAGAGGAAAAAAGTAATGCGCATAATTATGCGACTGTATACGCACAGTTTATCAGCGAATATATATATTTTTAATTGTTATTTAGGTGCACCAAAAAGACCTTATGGTCTTGTCACAGAGCATCGCGAAAGTGCATTTAATTAGGAAGTTTACGCCTCCTTCTTTACCGTGATGCGAAAATATGTCCAAGGCTCGTTTTGAACCTAGATTTACAGCTTATAGAGCAAGCGCTCTAACCACGGCGCTACGGCCGAATATCTGCGCATACAAATTTTTCCGAACCCTAATTTTATTATATCAAAAGAAATGAAATTGGCTTGTAAAACTTGTTCTAATGTAGTTTTTGAATCATAAATATTAAATATAGCTTTAAAAAACGTGCTTCTGTCATTATATACTACAAGCTGAGATCGGCCCCGTAAAAATACGGGTCTTTGTATATCTATTCCAAACCGAACTTTTCTATACTTTTGCCTAATATATTCTAGCTAATACATGACTTTCCAAAATTAATTAAAGATAAAGGTTGCCGAATTAGATTATCATTTCTTAAGTTATATTTATTATTATCTTTTAAGGTATATAGATTATGAAAAGAAAAGGTTTATAGATTAAGTTATATAGATTATGAGAACTGAGGATTCTTTAATTTTACCCTTGAACATAAAATAAAGTCTATTAAAAATATTTAGCTGATAAATATTAAGAATTTTCATTTGAAATAATAATTGTTATGAGATAAAAAAAGATTTGTATTGTCGGCAAACATGACCGTCATTAAATTTGAGGCTTCGGGGAGATCATTAATGTAAATTAAAATAAGAAGAAGTTCTAGTATAGAAATTTGAGGGACCCCACATGTTATATCTAATAAATTGGAAGAGACAGTAGTATTACTGTAAACAATCTGTTTACGGTTGCTTAAATAACTTTTAAGAATCATTAAAATATTTTCTCTAATTCTATAATACTCTATTTTTTAAAATAGGATTTGTGGTCAATGGTATCAAGAGCTTTCGATAAATCTATGAAAACACCTAACATATATTGAGATTTTTCAAAAGACTTAGCAATATTGCGGGTATTTTGGAGTATAGCGTGTTCGGTTAAATTACTTTTTTTAAATCCGTATTGATTTTTATACAGTATATTATTTGAAGATAAATGATTGAAAATTATATTATATATTGGTGAAACTCTGGCTATTTTTAGAATGTCGGGAAAAATACCCTGTTTTATTTTTTTATTTTTAGATTTTAAAATTTGAAATAGAATATCTTTAATGACTTCGTACGAGTCGATAATAACATTGCAATAAATATCATCATGACCAACTGATTTATTAGATTTAAGCTTTTTAAAAGAAAGTTATTATGTAATTATGTTCACAAGTATTTCACTCTTCACCACAGTGGTGTCTTCCAGCATACTAAAAACAGTATCAACTTTGGATTGACAGGGTGTAAACTAGCCTTGTGACGCCCCGTTAAACCCAGTTTTCCTAAATGCTCATAAAATTAAAGTTCCAGATTTAAAGATGAAAAAATCCCATTCTCCAAATAAAAGTTTAATAATAAAAAAGTTTCCAAATTAAAGTTTAATAATAATTCTGAAAATAATTTAAAATTAATTATTATTCAAAACTAATATAAGAAAAACATTAAAAAAATTCTAATTCATTAATTGCGTAAAACATGAAATCAAATCGCCATTATTGGTATAAAAAGGCACTTGCATAACTGCAAAAATTGGTTTCTTGGAAAAAAACATTATTAGAATTGGGATTTTTTGGGCGATTTTTGTGATTTTAGTGGCAACTTACAATAAAGTTTGAAAATAGTTTTTTGCAATGCATTCCAATAACAGCAAATATTTTATAAGTTTAGCAAGAAATAAATTACTGATCTAAAAGATCCAAAATAATAAAAAAATTGTTTGGTTTAACACCCGCAAATCCTATTTCTCGCCCTAAAAAGTTAAATAACTTATTAAGTCTTACCGTAAACTCAACTTTAAATAGTACATGTATTTCGTCAACAAAAACATCAAGAAGGTTATGTCAGATACCTTTTGATCAATTACGGTTATTACGGAAAGTCTTTTATTTTTTTATTTTAGATTTATTAAAAACCCACTATACAAGTAAGGTAAAATAAGAGTTTCATACAAGATAAATATAAAAAATCTTGGAATTTTTTTTTTTTTTAACGTGATCATCTTGGAATATGTTTTTCAAGAATGTCCTTGAAGATAGTTCTTTGCTCTTTTAAGTTCCAGTACTCAACTCTACTTAACTTCCAGTACTCTTTTAGTTATTGTTTTTCTTTTTTTTGTTTGGTATTTTATATTGCTAAAGTTTTTTACTTTTTTACTGGCATTCTTCGATGCCACGCGTGCAATCGCTTGCTAATAATATTACTCTATACTTAAACGATATTTGTTCCTGTATTTGCTGAGACTTTGTGGTTTAACTTTATTTCGCTTTGTGATTTATATATAAAATAAATTATTATTAGTTATAAAACTCGTAATAAATGTGATATATGAAATTTATGAGCTCGTGTTTACTATTTTTAAAACCTTATCTATTATCAAAAAATTTCTCTTGATAACACAATTTATTACATAATAATGAAAGGGTTCGTTCGTAAGGTACATCGAGCAGAAATTAAATAATAATTAGAAGCAGAAGATTATTGGATCATTGAAAATCGTTATTTTACTATATTATATTGAAAAAGAAATATATATTTAAAATAATACTCTTGAAATGAAAGCGGCGACAATATAAAAAGATTAAAAATAAATCAAATTAATTATTCTCAATAATAATTAATATACACTGATTGGTTTATAATAAAAAAAAGATATCATTCCTAATACATATTAGGAATGATATCTTTTTATTATAAACTATATATATGTATATATATATATATATATATATATATATATATATATATATATATATATATATATATATATATATATATATATATATATATATATATATATATATATATATATATATATATATATATATATATATATATATATATATATATATATATACTATATATATATATATATATATATATACATATATATATATATATATACATATATATATATATATATATATATATATATATATATATATATATATATATATATATATATATATATATATATATATATATATATATATATATATATATATATATATGTTCGGAAATCGGTTCTTAGTTTACCGTGTCGTGAAACAACACCTAATTTTGTTTTGATTTCAAATTCATCTTTTATGATACAGATGGTATATTATTTTATTTTTGGCGCTGATCAATCAATGTATGCAGCGCTGAAGTAGATTAGAAAAAAAAAGAACACCAAAAAAGGACCCCATGCTTTCCCAGAATATAATTTAATCTCAGGGGAGGAGGGGGTGATTGAGAAATACTTCGACAAATTCCTAATTTCGTTAAAACGCTGTGTCATACTTATTCCTGGTTAACACTAATTAACATTATTCAAACATATTTTCAAAATCAACAATTATATCTAAATTAATTTTCTTTTTCTTCAGTTTAGAATTGATAAACGATTTTGTTAATTCATCATCATAATTGCATTTTGTTGTCCATTACACAGGGTCATTTTTTAGGAAATCAGGTCGGTTCCAATATTATTCATTTTCAAGCATCAAACTTAATCCATTTTCTCTATTTGGAATTTCACCGGGACTGTCATTTCCAGAAACAAAATGCCAATCATCAAATTTTGATAAACTTTGTATAAAATTAACACGGTTTTAAACCCAACATTTTCATTTCTTATTTAATCCATGAATCCATGCTAAACAAATTTTTGAATTACTCCAGTAGCTAACCTTATCAATACGAAGTACACCATTTATTGTATTTTTAACAGAATTTATCAATTTACATAGCATTGAACAACCCAAGAATTCAAGTCTTGGAACAGTTTGTCTTTTTAATGGAGCCTCGTTCGCTCTTGCTGTAAGTAAATTTACAACAACCGTATCATAAGCTTTAATCCTTAAATAACATAACGCTGTATAGGCTTGTGTTGAACTATAATGAATATGAATTGGAACAGAATTTGTTTGTTTTGTCCTGTCAATAATTACACATCTTGGGATATTCAAACAATTAAGTGCTTTAAGTTCATTTTAAGTTCATACCACTGCTTCAAGATATCAGCAGGGAAGCGGTCATCCCAATACATATTTTCTGTGCATATTTTCTGGAACATCATTTTTGACTAATTAATGATTTCTGTATCGGTCTTATCTTCTTCATCTATAATATTTAAAATGCCATTATCTAAAGTTTGTATTAGCTTCAGCTTTATATCTAAATTTTCGAGGCATGAGTTCAATTTCTCAGCATCTTCTTTAATGTAATCGAGTTCTTCTCCTAATCAAAGAACGTTTTGTCGACGTCCACTACCAATTTTTTTTTTTTTTTTATTTAAGTTTATACTCATTGTAAACAATATTTAATTTAAATTAAATCACATCGGGGTCACCATTTAGAAAACACTTACGAATTCTAATAAATAACCAATAGAAAGATACTACAAGATAACTTATTTCAATAGGAATTAATAGTTATATCGCCATTATGCCTTCTAGAAACAACTGACAACTAAACTCACGCGCAATATCTTAATCACTAGCACTCAGTCCTCTAAAACTAGTTTTTACATTGTAACATTAATAACTTTAGTGATCTAAAAACAAAAGTTGCTGAAGGAAAAAAAACTAAAAATAGTATTTTTAAATTAATCATATTACCTGATTTTGCAATATCAACACAAAAGTTGTAAACGTTAATTTAATTTGTAGGGTAGCCCACATAATCGCGGGAAAAGTTCGTCTAAGCTTTCATTTAGCTGTAATTTTTTCTTATTCTTTCTAGGATATAACTTACATACTGCGTAAATATCTTAATTTAAAGTTATCCAATCACACTATACCTTTTAAAAAAATCTAAAGATATTTTATACCACATAAGCAATCAAAGTTTTACCAATAAAAGAAAGTTCTAAACAGTTAAGTAATTTGAAAGTTCTAAATATTTTTTAAGTTTAAATTTTATAGTTCTAAATAATTAGTAAGTCATATTTATAATTAGTTGCTAGTTATTTTTTCATGTTTTATTTTTATTATTCTAATCAGATAATTTATTAAATTGTCTGATTAGAATTGAATTAATAAAAGTTTATATTAGATTTTTTACATATTATATATAAGATTTAATAATTGTCTAGATTAAATTAACAACTGTGAGTATACTTGCCGGATTTACAAACAGATGTTTTATATTCTTATATTTAAAATACTGCTGCAACAAATAGAAACAAGAAGATTATCTGTTTTTTATCCGCAAAAATACTTAAACAATAAAATAACATCTTGGAAATTTTAAGCAAGTTCCTGGTCAAAATAGCGTTAACCATTTGGGGTAGTTTTGACACAAATACTTTGATATTAGATTTATAATTATAAAAATTCATTCACATAAAAATTATATAATTTTTTATTATACTATTCAACATAATATATAATAATACTAAATTTACAATCAATAAATAATCTCTTTATTTGGGGTAATTTTGACACAAATACTTTATTACTACATTTATAATGTTAAAACTTTATTCACATATAAATTACATTATTTTTTAATATACTATTCAACATAATATGACAATAAAAAGACAAAGATATATAACAAATGTTCTCATAATACATCGTTTTGAATAAATTCGTGGGTATTTTCTTAATATCTTTTAAATAATATAAAAACTAATAAAAAAATATAATATAAAAACTAAAAAAAGTTTAATATTTTTATGTTAAACTTATGATTTAAATTTGTATAAAAATTCCTTACAATAAAAACTTTTAACCCGACCCCTCAAAAACACAAACCCGCGTTAGGAAATCAAAAACAGGTAGAAATATTTAAAAGAACGACACAAAAACATGTTGGCAAAAAGTATAGGATCAAAATATTATTATATTAATGTTCTAAACTAAATATTTAATATGCAGTATAATACAAAAAAAAATTAAAAAACTTATTTAAAATAGACATACTATTTTTTCAATATAAAACTTCCTTAAAAAAAACACGATTCTTGCCAGAAACAATAACAGCATTTTGTTTGTTTGGAGTCTTGTTTTGACGATGATGGTGCAGTATTGTGTATTCCTTATAAAGACTAAAAAAAAATTCATTTTATATCATTTAATTCAGATAGTAACTTGCAAAATTAAAAATTATAATAGATAAAATATAATAAAATAATGTTAAACAGTTAAAAAATGTTAAACTTTAATACTATTATAATATAACTTTAGTTATATATGTGATACATAAAATTATGACTTTTCAAAAACTCTTTATAAAGAGTTTTTAAACTATGAATTTCTTATGATATCCTAGTGAGAAAAAAAAAGTCAAATCCTACCTGGGCTCCATATTGGTTCCGATGAATCCCACACAGTACTCACATGGAGAACCATGTAGGACATGCGTTTTTTTCACTTTAATGTTTTTGTTTCCAGTATGTCAGTGTAAATTTACTGAGATTGCGCCTTTGTGTATCAACTTAATAGTGCTTCAAAATAGGCGTGTCAAAAACAGAACATACAAATACCATAATTGATTGCTCAATTTTGCATGTCCATGGCAGGTAAGATGACTTTCTTAACTACATTACAACTTATTCATTATATATTTCTTATAAATAATAAAGTGTAAGTTAGAAAACATCATAAACTGTAACTACTTTCTTTTAGTTTTTTATTTTTTCAGTTTTTTAACTTTTTTTTTTTAATGTGTATCAACAAGAAAAAAAAAAAAAATTCCATTTCGCAATACATTTAATTATGCTAAAATAATTCTTACCTGTCATACTCTTTATAATACATATATACCAAATATTGTTCAGCAGAAAGTTGCGAAGGGTGTTTGTTCCCAATGTATACCTTGTATACCAATATATACCATGTATACCAATGTATACAATGTATACCAAATATTGTTCAGCAAAAAGTTACAAAGGGTGTTTGTTCCTCAATGTAAATAAATACTCCAAATTTCATCCAAAATGTATCACCCAGCCGAAACAACATTCCCCAAATGTTATTTCGGCTTGGTTATACATTTTGTTTCGGTGACTTTAATAAATTAATATCTTCATTTTCTCTTCAAAAGAACAAAAAATATTTAACAATATAACTAATACTTTTTTGAGATATTCAATTTTTCAATATTGAATACTCAAAATTAAATTTTCCTAAAGTCAACATATCCTATTGTGGAGTGTTTTTCTACACTTTATTTAGGTTCACTGATTTTTTCAAAGTATTTTTAAGTTTTAGAGAGAAAAAAAATAACATAGCTAATACTATAATATAAAAAAATACTATAATATAAAATAATACTATAATATAAATAAATACTATAATATAAAATAACATAGCTAATATAAAATACCTCACTTAACTAAAAAGCTAAATCCAGATTCTTGAACTTTGAACTGGATTTTAACAAACAGTTGAACGAATTATTTAACGAATAGTGGAGCGAATAGAAAATAGTACATTCATTGAAAAATATTTTATGAGGACAGAATATTCGATAAACATTGTAACTAAAGCTTAACTTATTAGGCTTATTCAGTATTAGGCTTCGTTTAAACTTAATTTGCGAAGTTAAACAAACTTTGCCAGTCCTAAGCTACAACCTGACTTAACAACTAAATTAACAAAAAATTTAAATAAATGCATCTTTGCTTTGTAAATTTGTTTTATTGAAAAAGAAAAAAAAATCTGTATAGTTTCTCAAAAACAATAGAAAAAAAAAAAAAGATATTTCAACAAGCTACATAAAAATTGCTTTATTTGCTTTATTGATGTTTATAAAACTTTTAATAAACTAAACTAAAAATAAATAAAATAAAAATGAATTAACCGAAAATGAAACTAATTATAATGTTATTTAAGTATATAAGGATTAACGAGTAGATCTTTCGATTTATTTAATGGTATTACACATATAATAGAGTGAGCAAGATACGTTTTGTATTATAAAAAAATAGCGGCCAAAGTATAAAGTTAAATAATATGAGAATAGAATACTTGTTTAAGCCTGGCTTTTAGATTAGGTATGGTCAATGTAAGTTAAGTAATATTAAAAGTGCTGAAAAAACAACAACTATACTACAAAATGTCTCTAATAGTATAAAACACAATATATTTGTTTTTTATTTTATTATTTTGTGAAGTTAATAATTAAGCTATGTTTAACAATAAAACAAATAAAATTACTTACACAAACAAGCTTTAGAGATAATAGAAAACAGTTTTTAGCTGTATTAATTAAACTCAACTTTATAAATTATATTATAAAAACAGGCACAGAAAGCTCAATACCTTTTTCCCGATATCAAATAGAGTAGTGGATTAGTCCAACGTCCAACTGGTTGATGGGGCTTTGCTCACAGTACTCTTTTAAATCTAAAAAAAAATTATATTAAAGATAGGCACGTAAAAGGTCAACAAAAAAAGTAGTAAGCACATTTTTTATGTAAATTTAACCATCTATTGAACGGAGTATTTATTTTTGAATAATATTTATAGAAAAGATGTATTAAACATTTTTAATTATATATAATTTATAAAAAACATACGCAGTAATAGTTAAAAAAGAGATTCAACAAAAATTATAAATTATTTCTAAAATATGTACCTGGCTGAAGTTTCCGGACAAACCACGTAGCAATAAAAAGTGTTATTCACATGATCGCAATTGAACTGATTTATACTTTTATCGTTGTTCCTTAATCTGTCGTATTTCAGTTCGAGTAAACTTTTTCTCGGAATATAAATTTCCTCCTTCTCTAAACCACACCTTATGGTGGGGTAATAGGATATACAACTGTTTGTCTGAATCACAAACAGTTGTATATCATATCGGGTAATATGATATACAACTGTTTGTGATTCTTCAAAATTCTTTTTATTATATTTTAATAGAATTGGTTCACATTGCTTATTTGAGATACAACTTTTTTTCCGAATGATGTTAAATTTTTTGAACTTGTTCTTTATAAAATCATATTTTTTTCTAAAAGATTGAAAAATACTTTTAAAAACTATTATAAAAAAGCTTTATCGCTATTTTTATAATTTCGAGTAACGAACTGATAATTTTTAACTTTACATTATAATCAAATTTGACGTCATTTATCAACTTCTAATTTTAAGTAAGAATTAATTTTAAGTTTAAAAATTTTAAATATATTTGTTGCAAGTTTTTGATTTTAAATTTGTAAATATGTTTGTAATTATTTTGTAACTTTGTAATAACAAATAAGTTATTAGAGAAAATTGTTTTTTACTTTTTTAAAGTTATTTTTGTCTTAGTTTTTTTCAATGACTTTTTCTCAGTTTAGTCTTTTTGAAAAGTAGAAAATTTAGATATTTTTGCGTTAGGTTATTTAACTTTCATATTTTTTTTAGTAGGTTTGTACATTGGAATAAAAAAAAAAAATTTAATTTAAAAGTTCAGTCAAAAAACAAATGCTAAATTATTAATTTAGACATTGAAAGATCTTACGAAAAACTGTATTTAAGAATATTTTATGGGCCGCATCATATACTTCCTTGATTAATCTACCATTGCTTCATACGATATAGGGTAAAAAAGTGTAATTGATTATTTCAAAAAATCTTATATTTCAAAGTTTTAAGCAGCCATGGTGCAGAGGTGGCGCCAGCATTTTTTGATCTTCAAGATCAAAAAATGTTTTTAACTTTCAGACATGGAGCAAACTCCGAACATTTATATGATATACTTATGTCAAGTATGGATGCTTTCCAAATAACTGCGATGATTGGAGCCTGTGAGCAAAAAAGCCAAAATATTTTAGGGCTTTTTTGCTATTTAATTTTTTTGACAACAGTAATTTAAATATAAATGGGTAACTCTAAGAACACTTTCAATTGTAAGTTATATCCTGGTAAAATGTTAATACTATTAATAATAAAGTATACAGTAAAATCACCTAAGTTCGGTCACCATTTAACTTCGGTCATTTAAGAAAAAATAATTAAAAAGCATAGTAAAAGCATAGTAATATAGTTTTACAAAGTTTTTTTTCTCAAATAATATTTGTAATTATTTAGTATAAAAGGAATTCTTTGATTTGTTTATAGATTTGTATGGCTTTTTATCCTTTTTTTTTTGAGAGGTAAAACTTAAAACTTTTTATGTTTTTGTTTATTTGAATCTTTACCCTTTTTAATACTTTTAACTGATCTTGGCACTCAATTTTTTTTCTTGTTCAATAATCACATCTCGCCATTGCCACGAACTGACACCATTTTAGTTAATAATCTACGTGATATGATTCATGTCTTTATATAAAAACAGTGCGGTGCAAATTTATAACCTCACCCAAAATTCAAGGCCTCGCAAATAATTAAATAATTATTTTTAAATTGTTCAACTGCTTAGCGTCTTACTTGATTATTATTTCATTTGTAATAGAGTCTGGTTTCATTTTGTTAATTGACTTGAAAAATGATGTTGCAAAATTTTAACCTTATTTTAATTTACTCTACAAAATTCAATAATATTTTGTATTGCAGTTCGAATTTATTATTAATACTTTGTTTTAATGCCACCATTTTGAATAACTTCAAATATTCGATTTACCATACTTTCCAAATGTTTTCTATGATCTGCAAGAGATATGTTTTTCCAAAAGTGTACAATTGCCTTTTTCAATTCATCGACATTCAAATATTGTTTCGATTCTGCATAAACACATCTTACTAAGGTGCCCCATACATTTTTGATGGGATTTAAATTAGGTGAGAGCGCTGACCATTCTAATAATTAAATTTTCTTAATGGTAAACCATGAGATATTTGACTTTGCTCTATGATTTGGAGCATTATCTACCTGGAAAATAAAATTAGTGTTACCGAAGTTTTGAGAAATATTATTCAAATGACCATTCAACAAATTTCTATATTCTTCAGAATTTAATTTGTAGTAAAAAAGCCAATTCAAGTATTTTCAAAATAATTGAAGGCATCCCAAATCAATACTCCTCCGCCACCCTTAGCCCTTATTTTTAAAAGTATTTTCTCTTTTCTAATGTCATGCAAGTAGTAGTTTAAGCCATCTGGACCATCAAAATTAAATTTTTTTTCACCAGACCATAAAATTTTTTGCCATTCTTTTTCCCAAGTCATGCGGTCCGTGGCCCATTAAAGACAAATGCGTTTGAGTGCTTCAGTTAGTGCTGGAGATGTGCGTTTTTTTGCATATCTAAGAACGTCTGACTTGTTAATTGCGCGATCTATTGTTTATTAGGAGCATTTTAATCCTAAATTACCACCTATTTGTCTTGGGGAGAATGTACGGTTTCTAACGGAATGCAAAATTTGTCGCTGTTTGCGAGCTGTAAGTATAGATTTTCTACCACTTCAATGCTTTGTGCTATAATTTGTTGGATTCTTTATGAATTTATTGATTAAACGTTGTGAGCGTCTCAGTTTACAGGAAATTTTCCTGTTTGATAAACCCAATAACCTGTAGGCTTCGATATTGCCATTTTCTTTATCGAAGAGTGTAATTCCTCTTGGCTTTAGTTAGAAAGTATTTTATAATTTTAAAATTTAATAAATTTAAATTAAAAAAAGAACTTACTATTTTTGTGGACTTTTGATGCAATTTAGAGTTAGATTTAAACAAAGTTATAATTGTGCACAACGTTTTTTAAGCATGAAAAGCATTTTAAAAAGAGAGAGGGAGAGAGAGAGAGAGAGCCAACACAGTTCAACTTTTTTGCATGGCTCGAATAAAATTTCTAGTTTAGTACAGCGTTTGAGAAAAAACTGACTGACAAATGCTAAAGTCAATTTATTATGCAATGGAGCGATTACCGAAGGTCTTGTATTTCATATTGTTGTTCGAGATTGGTAGAAAAAGGATTCTTTACCTGAACAAAGAAAGCAAGGTGCAACTTTTGTGCATCTTTGCTACTAAAAGCAAAGATGCGCAAGATTTTTCTACAAAAAGCCTTTATAGTTTCAACAGTGAAACTATAAAGGTCACTGTAAATTCATTACCTAAAACTTGCTGGAAAGTTTTAAGATTTTAAAGTAAATCTATATGGTTATATTTTTGGAATAGTTACAGATAGGCTAGTAAGGAAAAAACAGGAAGATTCTATCAAATAGCTAATCAACTATGTCTTTTTCATGGAATTCATTTTTAATTTTATCATTGTAGGCTTAATGTTTCAATTGTAGATGCGTATAAGTCTTCTAAAAAATATTTTACAATTAAAATTTTATGTTTTATTTCATTTGCTACATTTTTATTTCTCATGTCTTAAAACTTTTTTATTTTAATCAGTTAATAAAATTTTTTATCAGTTTAAGAAAAATACATGAGTTTTAAATAGCAAAAAAAATAGAAACAGGAATAATAAAAGTAGTTTATAGGATGTTTTCTTTTTGTATTTAAAATTGTATTTATTTTTTTTTTGTTTTGGGTTTAAAGTAGTTTATTTGTTTAATATTATTTGAAATTACACTTTTTCATAAAAAAATATGCCTATCTTTAATATATTTTTTTCTTTAGATTTAAAAGAGCATTGTAGGCAAAGCCTCATTAACCAGTTGAACGTTGGGCTAATCTACTACTCTATTTATTATCGGAAAAAAAGTATCAAGCTTTCTGTGCCTGTTTCAATAATATAATTAATAAAGTTGAATGTAATTAATACAGCAAAACCTGTTTTCTATTTTCTCTAAAACTTGTTTGGGTAAGTACGTTTATTTGTTTTATTGTTAAACATAGTTTAAATATTAACTTAACAAATATATTATGTCTTATATTATTAGATAGAGCTTTCAGTATTGTATTTTTTTTTTTCAGCACTTTTAATATTATTTAACTTACATTGACTGTAGGGTTGAGCTTTTACCATTTTTTTATCATTTTACCGGTAAATTTTTTTTACAAATTTACTGGTAAGTTTTGACGGTAATCTAAGCAAACAAATTTAGAAGTTTTTATATTAATTTTTCCATTCCAAAAAAGGAGATGTTTACATTGCAATGTAAACAAATCTTCTTTTAGAGAATATTGCCAGTTGTTATTTCGATTTGGTGATACATTATGTTAAGGTGATATTAATAAATTCATTTCGTCATTTAGTCTTTAAATGAACAAAAACTTTTAAACAACATAACTTATACTTTTTTGAGATATTTAGTTTTTCAATATTAAATACTCAAAATTAAATTTTCCTAAAGTAAAAATATTGCATTGCGGAGTGTTTTTCTACACTTTATTTAGGTTCGGTGATTTTTTCAAACCATCTTTAAGTTTTAGAAAAGAAAAAAAAAAAAAAAAAATATATATATATATATATATATATATATATATATATATATATATATATATATATATAGCTAATACTGTACCTGACTTGACTAAAAAGCTAAATCCAGATTTTTAAACTTTGAACTGGATTTTAACAA